CTGAAAAAAATCAACGATTCTCATTGATATTCATTCCACAATTTTATTATTATTTCCATGTGAAAAGTTTTCCAATGAAAAGAAAAAAAAAATTCATCCATTAAACTGCATAACAGAAGCATCATTTGGCGCGTGATTTGAATTTTATTTTGTCTTTATTTTGTTTTCAAGTGTTTTTCTTATTTCCATTCAAATAAAAGGGTCATTTGATAATCTTTTAAAGGCAATCAATAACAACAACAACAACAACAACGACGACGACGACGACGACGAAAAAACTTTGAAATTTTCTTTCTTTCAATATTCACATCATTCATTGGCAATCAAGATCATTATCATTGAAATATTCACTTTTTATTCAGGTTTATTTTTTTCCATTTTGGCCAACCTGAACAATGATGATCATGATGATGATGATGATGATGAATTTTTGAAACACACGAAAAACTTGCTTTTTTTTGTATTCACTTGTTGAATCCGATGAAAATGACCTCTCTGTCTCTACTTTCAGTGTAGTAGAATTTGAATTTGAGAAAAAAAGCAACAAAACAACAAAAACAGTGAAAAATTTCCCCTTTTTTTGTGATACTTTTGTTATTTTTTTTTTTGTTTTGTTGTTCACCATTCAATTTCGATTTTCATTGAATAGTTCTTTTCACTGAATTTTCATTGAATGATGTTCTTTTTTTTTCTTGGTTTAGATTATGGAAAATCAGAATGATAATGATAATGATAATGATTATGATGATGGTGGTGGTGGTGGTGGCGGTGGTGGTGGCCGTGGTATTCATCATCATTTACCATGGTGGCCTTTTTATCTCACTGATCATCATCATCATCATTATTATCATCAATGTAATCGGGATTTTGCCACGCAGGTTTTTTTTTCTTGATGATATTCATTGTGTCGATGATCATCATCATCATCATTATGGTGGCCACTCTTGTTTCGGGTTTTTTTCGTTTCTTTCTTTCTTTCTTTTTTTTTGGCGGACAGTAGATGATTATAGCCAGGTTATATGTATAGTTAGATTAGATTTTCATTTTCTGGTAGGCTGCTTGCATGCTTCGCTGATATGGCTGGCTGTTGTTGCATCATTATCAATTGGATTCAATTAACTAAAGTTTTTAAACTTTACTTGTCGTTGTCGTCGTCGTCTTCGTCGTGCCGACACGATCTCAAGATTATCTTTTTCTTCTTCATTTTTTTTTCATTATAATCATTGTGTTATGCAGTGACCTTTGAACTTTTTGTTGTTGTTTTTTTTTATTTTAACCCACAAAAAAACAATCAAGAATTTTGATCTATTGTGAATTATTGTCATTTTGATTTTTTTTCTTGTTTTTTTTTTGAATGAATTTTCAACTTTTTCCAACTACGACATTTTCATTCTTTATTTTTTTTTTTCAATATCCATATCAATTATCGCTTGTTGATTCTGGTTTTTTTTTTTTTTTTTTTTTTTATTCAAAAATTGTACGAATAATTTGACAAGACAGCATAGACCTTGTCAATGAAACAAAAAAAAAAAAAAATTTCTCGGCTGATTGAACGACCGCCATGACTGTTCCGAAATTCTTGTTCGAATGTTTTTTCTTGTTCACTTGTTTGTCTGTCTGTCTGTTTGTTTGTTTGTTTGTTTGTTTGTAGAAAAAAAACTTGTCTGGTAAAAGAAAAAATGAAAAAAAAAATTTGGCCACCATTGTTGAATTTCGTGAATTTCGTTTCTTTTATCATCATCATCTTTTCGGTGTATGGTAAATGTATTCGATGTCTACCTATTTTACTTGATTTCCAAACACACACACACACGCAAGCTATGCTTTGCTTCTTCATGATTATCATCATGATGATGATGATGATGAGCCGTCTTTGAAGTTTTTTTTCCAGTATGGTCAATTGTATGTGTGTGTGTGTGCGTATGTTGAGGGCCGAAACGGTCGATTGATTTTCGGTTCTCATTTTTTTTGCCCCTTTTTTTTATCCAAACATTTTAAGCTTCAATGAATTTTTTTTCTTTTCCTTGCCGGAATCTTACATATAGAAGAAATGGACAGTCAGTCAATTCATTCATTCATTCATTCATTCACTATGTTTATTTGTATGGTCCCATTGAATGAATTTAAAAAAAATGGTCGTTGATGGTGATGGTGGTCCATTTCATAGCATCATCATCATCATCATCATCATCGTCGTCGTCGTTGAAGCAAAATAGTACCATCACCATTATCTAGTCTCCAATCATTATCATCATATGTTTCGGGCCTCTTTTTTTTCTCTCATTCTCATCACTAAAAATGATGGCAATATTTGACCGAGACTTTAGAAGTAACGCCCATACTCTTATTAATGTACCACACACACACACCAGCACTCATACACATCAATAAGAAGTTTGACCTTTGACATGTGGAATAGGCCCCGATTCTCTCTCTCTCTTTCTTAGTTTTCTTTGTTTATTATTGATAATATGGCCAATTGAATGATGATAATGAGAGTCCGATCTCCATCGATCGATCGAACGAACGAACGAACGAACGAAAAAAAACACCATGTGGTCTACATACATGAGAAATGAATGTTGTTGTTTAGTTCCGAATGAAAAATGCAAAAAAATTGAAATTTTTTTGCACTTGTGAAAAAAAATGTCTAAAATTTTTCAATTGATTTTTGCTTTATTGAAAAAGTAAAAAAAAAATTCAACAGAGAATATAAATCAATTTTTTTCTCTCTTTTCACGTAAATTGATTTTGATTAATTCCAAATACACACGCACTACTACCTAGATGATGATGAATGGTAACACTTGTTGTTGTTGTTGTTGTTGGTATCTGTTGCTAAAATTACGGTTCAATGAAGTAAAGAATGTCGATGTATGATGATGGTCAACATGCACAACAACAACAGCAGCAACAAGTTGACCAGCAAAAAAAAAAAAAATTTTGAAAATGGCGAAAAAAACACTGATCGATGATGACGATGATGTATGTTTCTAGAATCAAACTTTCAAACAAACAAACCCAACAGAAAAAAAATACAACCATCTTTATCATCATGATCAAACGATGTTCATGTTGATGTTAATTTTTCATTTTTTTCCAAAATAAAAAAAAAGTCCGAAAATCAAGCTCATGTCTTTCATGTTAATGAATTGGATTCATTTTTCATCATCATCATCATCTTATCTTATCTGTTTGTTCATGGATTTTTTTCTTTGCCTTTATTTTTGGTTCCTTTTTTTCAAAACCAAAAAAAAACGAACGAACGAACGAACGAACGAAAATCTATGAATGAATTAAAACAGCAAATTCTTGCCATTTGAATTTTTTTTTGTTCTTTAAAATTTATTGATTTGTTGAAAAATTTTGAATCACACACACACACACACACACACAAGAATCATTTTTTCTGGCCCATGATGATCATGATGATCATGATGATCAAGATGGTCAAGATGATGATGATGATCATAAATTATTTTTCTTTTTCATTTCATTTCATTTCATTTTGTTCACAATCGTTCATTGATCGCGTTGATTTTCGCGTTTTTTTTTCTTTTGAAAGATGAGCTACCCTATTTTGTTGTTGCTGCTGCTGATGCTACAATCATCTACCGCCACCACCACCACCACCACCTGGGCGAATAGGATGATTCTAATTGATTTTTTTTTTACTTTACTTTACTTTTTATTTTTTCTTCATTTTGGCCATCATTATTGATTTTTTTTTCAATTATTAACAACAAATAAAAAGCTTGTATGTATGTCCTTGAGAATATATATTTACGAATTAAATGAATGAATTTTGAACTTTGAACTTTTGGATTATTATTAATAATGATGATGATTATGATTATGATGATTATAATCCAGTAAATAACTTGTGATTATAAAATTGATTATTATTACATTACATGATTCAGATGATGTGATTTTCGCGTTTTGTTTTTTATTAATAATTCAGGTTTCTTCATCATAATTATTATACACATCTTGTGTGGCCAGAAATTTTTTTTTTCATTTCTTTTTTCGAATAAATTCCTTTTTTCAATATCAACAAAATGTTTTAACCATGTCATTTTTTTTGTCTTGTCTTGTCTTGTCTTGTTTTTTTAGATTTGAATTTTTTTTTGCAGAAAAAATCAAATGAATTTTTCAAGAATTTCCAATCAACAGGATTTATGGTTGATTGATTGATTTTCGCATCAAATTGATTGATCAACAACAACAACAATACGGTGCTATATATACAAAGTCATGGCCATACCACCATCGCCGCTATTTGATTTGGATGATTAAATTATAAATCTAGTGTACCACCCACCCACTCACACGTGTGATGGTCATGTTGTTCGTCATCATCATCATCATCATCGATCAATCAATTGTTTTGTCTCGCCCATTTTTTTCTATTTTTCATACCCCTATATAAATAATGATGATTGGATGTTTTCATTTCATTTTTTTTTTAATTTATTCATCACGTGCCATTGATAAGTGAATTGAATGTTGTTTTTTTGTCTGGCTTTCAAAATAATAATAATCAACTGGCTGACTCATCATCATCAACTCATTGTTTGTGGGCCAATGGCCGCATCCATTTTCATTGTCATGTTTATCATCATTATAGTATTGTGTTGAACATTTTTTTTTTGATTGATCGATTAATCGATCGATTACATTGCTATGACTGTTGGCCGGTTTCGTCATCTTATCATCATCTTATCATTCGTTTGTTCATTTCATTCATCTTTTATTCTGCTGCTGATTTTTTGTTGTTGTGATTTTTCTAAGTTTTTTCCGACAAAAATTACGTGTTTGTGTCCATTTTGTTTTTATCATTAATTATCATCATCTAATACAAACATCATTCTAGCTGTGATTCATTTCTCTTTTTTTCGTGATTCTTTTTCATTTATTTATCATCAAGATGATGATGATAATGATGAATTTTAAAGAATTTCATCATCAACATTATGACAGAATATGGAGATGAATAACAACATGATGTCAACATTAACAAAATGATATGCAAACAAAAAAAATGAAAAAAATGGCTATTGATAAATGTAATAGTAATCATCATCATCATCGTAGAACATTGGGTGATGATAATGATGATAATAATTTCTGGCCATGGACATTGAATGGTCGACCACCGCCGCCACCACCACCACCAACAACAACAACAACACAATCATCATCAATGAAAACAAAAAGAACGTTAATATGTCAACCATCAAATCATCAACAAATGTCATCAACATTATTATGGATATTTTTAATATTTATTCTATCATCATGTCAACATATATCAACATTTCAGAACATGACAAAACAACATTTGTCATCATCGCCATCATCATCATCATCATCACCATTGATGAATATTGTGAATATAACCACCGTCTCGACAGCAAATTCATCAAAAATGACAAAAATTCTAGTCAAAAATCCAAATAATAATGATACTTTGATCGTATCATCACCATCATGTTCACATCATCTATATTCACGACATAAACATCTTCATTCTCATCATCAACAACAAAAATCCATGATAAGACATGATAGTCATCATCATTATCATCATCATAGAAAATTATTTAATAAAAATCGTCGTGATACTGTTGGTTCATTATTTAATGAAAATATTCACAATAATCATCAATCATCAATTGATGATTTAACAATGAAAAAAAGTGCAAAAAAAACAACAGATTCTTTAATTTCAATGAATACAAATTCTACATTGAAATCATATACAACATCGAATAAAAGTATTAATTTTACACATGTTGAATTGGATCCAATTACTGGCAATATTTATGTTGGTGCATCCAATTGGATTTTTCAATTAGATTCCAATACATTGAGAGTGGAACATGCTGTACGTACTGGTCCAATACGTGATAGTCCTAGCTGTCCACCATCCGATTGTTCCGGTGTTGATCCAAATCTTGTACAGATTACAAATAATGTGAATAAAATCTTATTAATCGAACCATATGCACGTATGTTGATTGTATGTGGTTCTGTTCATCAAGGTGCTTGTACTAGACATCGTTTAGAGGATATTTCACAACATGAAGATCTCATACCATTACCGGTTGCATCGAATGATGAAAATTCATCAACAATTGCATTTGTTGGACCAGCAAGATATTTTGGTGTACAATTGACACCCATTCTATATGTGGCAGCAACTGATTCACGTATTGGACCATATCGTGATATGGTGCCAGCCATATCTGGTCGTTCATTAGAATCATCAAGATTATTCACTATAATTGATCGTGGTTTTGCTGATAGTGCACGTGTTGATATCAGTTCGAATATACGTGATTATTTTCTTGTAAATTATGTTTATGGATTCTATGCAAATGATTATGTTTATTTTGCACAAATACAACGTCGTTCATATCTTCGTACATTAGAAGAAATGGGCTATGTAACACGTTTATCACGTGTTTGTGTTAGTGATGCTGGTTTCCATACATATACCGAATTAACATTAGAATGTATTCATCATCAACAATATTCATCATCGTCATCATCATCAACAACAAACAATGGACGATATCATCATCATCATCATCATCATCATCAGCATTCTTCAAAAATGAATAATTTAAATATTGAACAATTTAATCTTTTACAAGATGCCATCCTAATAAAAGCCGGTTCTGATCTTTCTGATTCATTGAATATTGAACGTGGTTCATTAGTATTGATTGGTGTTTTTGCCAATAGCCATGATCATACTAATCGTCCTAATGGTGGTAAATCGGCATTATGTGTATATCCCATCGCCGATATTGAACAACGTTTTGCTGAAAATATTCATCTCTGTTATAATGGCAGTGTTTATTCACGTAATATGGATTATATTGCCGGCAGTGTTAATCAATGTCCAGAGCCTGGGGTAAGTAGTTTGGCCACACACAAGATTTTTTTTTCTCGTTTTTGTTTTTTTTTGCATGGATTTTTTTTTGTTTGTCTCCACTTTCTCTAGAAAAAATTGAAATGAATACATCAGACACACACATTGAAGACATTTTTTTTCCATCATTGTCATCATCATCATTATTAATATTACTGCCTTGTAGGCATATTTGACATACACACACACACACACATACACGTGTATCACTTGCAGCACGTGCATTAAACCCAATTTTCTCAAGTTCTCTCTCTCTCTCTCTCTCTCTCTCATTCTGTTTCCAAGTGCGTTAATTATTTATTTTTTTTCCATCATCATCATCATCAATAACAATAATGATCGATGGTGACATTGAGATATAGATGACAATTAATTCAAATCATCATCAGCAGCCGCAGCATCGACAACAAAGGGCAAAGTTCAGTTTATTTTTTTTAATAATAATGAACTTTATTCGTTATTTGATTATTTGTGTGTGTGTGTGTGTGTGAGAACAGTGAGAAATAGTTTGCATTAATAACCATGGTAAATAAAATGAGAAAAGTTTTTCACTGTCCTGTTTTCGATCTAGACCATTTCAGATTATTATTATTGCCATCCATTCTATTCTATTCTGGATAGATAGATACTATTTCTCGAAACTATAAATCGAAAAAAAAACTAAACCTAAACTGAAAATAAACTTAAGTGGATACACATCGTATGAATATGGTATAGTATAGCAGTTTTTATTATTATTATTATTATTTGAGTATTTGTGATCCATTCATTCATTCTATCCACACACACACATACTGTGAAACATTTTTTTTTTTCAAGTCGTTCAGTCGATCGGTTCGTTTGGTCGATTTTTTTTTCTACATTCGTTTCGGTATAACATACACACACACACACACAGACATTGGATCGTGTGTGTGTGTGTGTTTGTTTGCTTTTGTGACCAATAAGTGTGTGTGTGTGTGTGTGTGTGTGTGTGTGATGAAGATTCAAAGATGAAGTAATGAATGGAATATGTATAATATAAAAAAAGCCTAAATTTCATCACCATCATATTTGGAATACGATAAAATACGATATCCATTCAGAATGGTTGTTGTTATTGTTATATATTCAAGTGTTGTTGTTGTTGTTGTGTGTTTGTGGAAGATTCCAAAAATTTTTTTGCTCCTTGTTCGCTTCAGAATATATGAAAATATTATATTACAAGAGATGATGATATCCAGTAATAATAATAATAATAATGAATGATAATATTTACCCTGCCATTATATAGTTTAATTGTTTTTGGGGGCCTTTTTTCATTGGTTTTTTGGTTTCTTTTCCCCTTTTTTTCGGAAATGTTGACGTTGATGCTGTATGTGAATGGCCCATAAATTTTCCAACATAAATGTCGAATATATTCATAATAATTATGAGTCATTCAGGTTTTTTTTCTTTTTTTTTGCTTTTGTCATATGTGTTGTCCATTGATATTGATGATGACTCATGATGGTTATTATTTTTTTCTGTACATTTGATAATTCTATAGTGGATAATCACAAAAAAATGGTGACCAATATGGAAATGTGATTTAAATTGATCCGAGGTCAACACATTATTCATTCTTGTGTGTGTGTGTGTGTGTGTGTGTGTGTGTATTAGGTTAGATTTGGTGATTTTTCTTTGATCTCTCTATGGATTTTCTTATCATACTGGTAGCTGCTACTTATAGAGTAAAATTCAAATTTTCATCTTTATGGAAATTTTCACTATATTCCCAATAGCGAATTGGAAAGATAGATCTTGACATTTCACCAAACAACAACAACAACAACGAAAACATAAGAATAATCCATTTTGGGTGAAAGCATATCGAAATGGCCAACCATCCATCCATCCATCTGAAATTAGCATCTTGTCCTGTTTGTTGTCCACTATATATCCAGGAAAAAAAAAGCTAAATAGAAAGTGAAATACATCCATCTTTTTTTTAAAGCTTTCAAAAAGCTTACTGTTTTTTTTTGTTTGTTTGTTTGTTTGGAAATGTTCTCGATGCATTTCAATTCCATTTGTATTTGAAAATGTCATGCATAGTGTTTCTCATTGATGATTCAACATCATTTATTATTTGGTTTCGCTTCTCCTTTTTTTTCTTCTCTTCTTGAAGAATTTGCAAGAGAGAAAAAAAAATTCAAAAAATTCCTATTCTTAATTCATCATTGTCCATCATCGTGTTTGTGTGTGTGTAAAGAATTGTCGCATGAATGTTTTTGTTGTTGTTTTTGTTTTTGTTTTTTTTTCACGTCCATTTTACATTGTTATTGCGTGATTACTGTGATTGATCACACAATACAAGACAAAACATTAAATTCATGAATAGAAAAATCCTATCCATTCACATTCATTCATTCATTCATTTTGGATTGAATGAAAATTTGGAATAATGGAATTTGGATATATTTTTCTAGCGAAATTTGAATCATATTTGTTTTTTTTTCATTTCATTTCGTTTCTGTTCCGTTAATCTATCATTGTTTTTCGATTTGATTTTCATTCTCATTCGATTCATCATTCGCCATTCTGGATCTAGAATTTGGTCAAGCAATTTCTTTTTGTTTGTTTGTTGTGAAAATGGCAAATTCCAGAATATTCTATCTACATTCTCAAAGACAAGCTGCTTTTTCTGCATTCATAAATAAAGTAAAAGGCCAATCCAATAATAATAATAACAGAAACATGTGCATGGATTTTATTCGGAATAAATTTCCATTCCTTTTTTCATCATCATCGAGTAAACAGTCTTTTTTCACACAGAATTTGCATTTCAAACCATTGAAGATGCAAAAAAGAAAATGAATTTTATTTCCATCTACAATTTTGATATTCAATTCGTTTTTTTTTTCAACACTGTTGTTGTTGTTGTTGTTTGGTGGTGGAAAAAATTTTTTTCCCGTCTCGTATTCCCAAAGTTTCAAGAGTGAAACATTTGAAAAAAAATCCATCCAGAATGATGAAATTTTTTTTCCTTCCTGTTTGTTGCTTGTTTGTTTTTTTTTTAATTTGTGAAAAAAAAGTCACAGAGTTGGATATCATTTCATATGCTTCTTCTTCTTGCTACTTTTTCTCTCTCTCTCTCTCTCACATCATTATCACATCTTCATGTGATCATAATCATCATTATTGCGATTTTGAAAAGAATCCTCTTTCTCTCTTGAGAATGACTGAGATGTAGAAAAATGATTCTTCAAGTAATGATCAAGATCATCATCATCATCATTTGCAGTCCAAAATCCTTTTTTGTCTTGTTTCCGGATATCAAGTCAATCGGGAAATCATCCAATGTTGTTGTTTTTGTTTAGAGTTTGTCTATAATTTACATATTATATATGCCAATTATTTGCCAAATAAATAAATCAAGAATCTCAAGAATCTCACTTGAATCCATGGTTGAGAAAAAAAATGTCATAATTTTTTTTTTTTGATTTGATTTAATCGAAAACGAATGAATTGCATGGATACATGGAATATGGATGTTGTATTTTACTTTAATCAAGTTTGATGTGTGTGTGTATGTGTACGTTTGATTAAGTCGATGCTTTTCTTTTTCTTTTTTTTCCAAAAAAAAAAAAAATTTTAAATGTGATCCACATGAAGTTGAAATGAAATGATGCACGGCTCAAGGTTTAATCTGGAAAACGTTTTTGTCATATATGAGCCAGATGAGACCTGGTTTGAATATTTTTCTGGTTCTGGTTCTGGTTTCTGGATTCAAATACCGATCAAAAAAAAAAGAATTTTATTTCTCCCCTTGCATCTCTCTGTGTGATGTGTGTGTGTGTGTGTGTTTGATTTGATATTTTTCAAACGATCAGAATCAGTATACTTTAAGTAATTTGCAGGTGAAATCAATGATAAAAATGATGATTATTATTTCATGGCAATTTGATTTGTACTAAATCGAATCGAATAAAATCGATATATTGATTGTAAATAAATAAATAAATAAAAAAATAGAGACAGCTAGAATTCAAACTAAAATCATCATCAAAATTCCTAAATTATTCCGAGAAATATTCTCTCTCTCTCTCTCTCTCTTTCTATTTGTGTCGTTATTGGGATAATGAAAAAAAAAATATACCGGGTCCATATAGAAAAAGAATATATATATTTCCCGTATCGTTTGTTTATATTTGATTGACTTGCCACTTACGTTGTGAATAAATAGTCAATTTTTTTTTTTTTTGCTACTGCTGATGATCAGATTTTCAAATTTGATTTTCGTTTCAAGAGAGGCAGAAAGCGAGAGAATGAAGTTGATTTTGATTTGATCTGATCTGATCTGATTTGTTCAAACATCGACGATCATCATCATCATCTATGATTGAGATTTTCGAAAAACAAATTTTCAGATGGTTTTTATTCTTGTGCTTTTTTTTTGATCATTTCATTTTCATTCGGTAATGATGTCAATTTTCTTCTAAAGTGATGAGTTTTTTTTCTCTTCGTTTTCGTAAGATTTGCTTCTTCTTCTTCTTCTTCGTATTGAAAAAAAAGATCGATTTCGATTTCACCAAAAACGAAAAATTTTCGTTTTTCTCCCAAATGTCTGTCTGTTTGTTTGTTTGTGTTGTGTATGTGTTGTGTTAATAATCATTAAGCCGGACCCAAGTCAATATCGAAATAGGTCTTGTCCATCAACTAGAATCATCTACCTTCACTTTGAGACTAACTATCCGACTAATAATAATAATCATCATCATCATTTATCCATCTATCGATGTCAATTATCGAATTGGAAAATAAAACGAAAAAAATTTTCGTTTTTTTTTCGTTCTTATTGAAGCAATAAAGAGGCTGGCATGAGTTTTTTTTTCTTCTTCTTCTTCTTCTTTTTCTTCCACGAAAACGAAGGTCATATTCTACTTTTTTTTGTTCTTTCTTCTTGTTATTTTTATAATCGTATTACGTAAATTTTTTTTTTTACTTTCTTTTCTTGTTTCATC